AAAAAAAAAAAAAAAAAAAAAAAAAAAAAAAAAAAAAACATCTTGGCCACCCCTGCAAAACAAGTCTAGCTCTGCCCCTGTGCATGATGCATAAGAGCTTGAAGTTCCTAAAGTACTGACATCACCTGGATGAGCAAGTTGTTTCTTTCTGTTTTTATTTTTATTTTTATTTTTTATTGGCCTGATGAAGACATTTTTACATGACGCAGGATGTTCAGTAGGTTATGGATTGTAAAAAATAAAATCTTGTTCTCTATTCAAACATCTGCAGTCTCCTTTCAAAGTGCATGTTTTGGCTGCAAATTTATGAGCCAGAACTTTCTAACATTGACGGTTTTTTTATTGTCTGTAATTAAAAAAATAAAGCCTTGTGGTTTGCTTTGTGTTGTGAAATAAACTAGTCAGGCTGGCCTTTGGTAACTTTGACTTTTGACAACCTGAGGCAGAGGAAGTGCTGAGCAATGTGCTCAAAGTGTCAAATAATCCTTCAAAATAACATTTTCACAAAACACTTATCCTTAAATCGAAATTTTGCTGCAAGGGAAAATATTTGATGTGTTTCTATAGTCAATTTAAAAAGGTTCCACTGTAGACTGGTGTGCCAAAAAGACCTACTTGATAATAAAGAGTAATTGATGTTTTATTGTAAATTATCAACACTTTTGTAAAYTGTTGCAGGAAGTTTTTAACAATTTGTTTAATGCATTATGTTTTTAGGCAACATAAAGACTTTTTAAACAGTCATTTCAGGTTATTTATTTATGTTAATATGCAAATTATAAAAGCAGTTTGGCTGCAAAATGTCAAGACTTGTCAGATCGCACTGAAATTATGTCTAAATAATATCTTATATCGCTGAATASCCTTAGATGAAACAAAACGTTTTGATAATATTTAACTGCACAGTATAGGCCCTCGTTTAAGATATAAACATAGAAAAGAAAACCAATTGCATTAGGATTATGTTGGTTAATTACAATTACTGTATGGGCATTCCCAAATGGCAAATAGCTACGAACACAGACRGAGTTTTATCTGAACTCAGATTCCTCATTCAATTTCAGAAAATAAAATTATTATTTTATATATATATTTC